CTTGGGTGATGGAGGATGGATGCACAGAATCATAGCATCATAGAACTGTTTGAGTTGGAAGGGACCCTTAAAGGCCATCTGTCCCATTGCCTGCACTGAACAGGGACACCCACAGCTCCATCAGTGCTCAGAGCCCATCCAGCCTGACCTTGGCTGTCTGTAGGGACACCAACCACCCCTCTAGGCAACTCATTTCCTTAACTGTGTCAATATTTCACACATTGGGGGGGCTCTCTTTGAAAGATACACAAGTCAGTGTATTTGATGAAGTCATGCAGATAGGAGGAGGAAAGCATCCAACGTGTTTTCAAGAAATGCTGCACCACCAAAATACAAAATAAGAGTAATTTCACTGGTAAGTCTCAATTCCTATCCTTCTGTCATGGCTATCACTTCCTCCACTGACTTACCCATAGAACCAGCAAAGAATTAGGCTGGTGTGTGTATTCTTTATTTCCATCCTGCTGGCAGCTTTGGGATGGGAACACCTAGCAGTGGTAGAAGGAAGCTCCCATAACATCTGCAGGACGAGCAGCCGAGGTGGGTGCCCCTTGTGCACTTCACAGTAGAAGTTCCATCAGCTGCCAGGAGATATTTATCAGGCTGCTAATGAGTTAATTAAAATTTTTAACAAGATTTCAGTACTTACTGAAATTATTTACCCCATGTTGCATAGTCACAGCGCTGACAATAGGTGGTAAGTGCTACACACTGAGTGAGCTTTATTCTTTTCCGTGACTATCTACTTGTCTGTGAATGCTCTCATCATTGCTAACAGCTGTAAAATTTATCTGTCCTTCATATTTAACATGCAAAATAGCTGCTGGATTGCTTCTACCCTGTCATTCATCCATTATTACCCCATCATTTGCACAGACCACCGCAGCATCCAAAACCCAGACCCAGCGCATCGACAAGAGCAGGGTGGAAAAGGTCTGAAGGAAAGAACGAGCAAACACCATCTAATTGTAATGAAGCACAGGGATATGATAGGATTAGCATTGTGTTTTGCAGCACTGCCATTCTTCATGGCACGTTCATAAATAATGTGCTTACATGAACTAGAGAAGCTCCCTCCCCATTCCTCCATCAGCCAGGAGACCGCTGCGCAGCTGTATTTCCATCTAAAGATAGATGGAGTCTGGAGAAATCTAGAGCAAAGGGAGCCCATTTGTGACATTATCCTATTATATTTAAGAAAAAATGCTGCAGCTGTATCTGTATATCATCACTCTGACATGTGCTTGGTCTCTAATTACTTGTTTTTATGAATTAAAGACACAGGAGAGAGGGATGAAAGATGAGATCACAGAATGTGGGGAGACAGTTTTAAACTAAAAGAAGAGAGATTTAGGTTAGATGTAAGGTGGAAATTCTGTACTCAAAGGGTGGTGAAACCCTGGCACTGCTGCCCAGAGAGCTGTGGATGCCCCATCCATGGCAGTTCCCAAGGCCATGGGTGGGCCCTGGGCAGCCCCAAAAGGAGGTGTTCCCATGGCAGGGGTTGGGACTGGGTGAGCTTGAAGGTCCAACCCAAACCATTCAATGAATCCCTGAGATGACAAACACAGGGAGTTCTGAGGAGCCCTGCTGCTCGCCCTGCAACAGCTTCCTGCAACTCTGCTCTGCCTGCAATCCTTTTCCCACTTCCTACAGCTGGCTGCCCTCAAGAAACACACAGCGAAGGAGCACACTCACTTATGCTGCAATAAAGAGAAACTTCATGAAACTCAACCGCTGACCACTTACATGACCACTAAACATATCTTGCCTTGCTACACGAGGGTTTTTTCTACGCCCCAACGATGGCAATGTATGGATCTGGAGGGCACACCCAGTAAACTTCCACAAATTCCTATTTACAGCATCCATCCTTTGCCAAGAGCCACATTCCTGCTGTGCAGAAGTTATGCGTTTAAAAGGCTTGGAGACATGGAGCACATCACAGGAGGATGTCTTTCCCCTTGCTCCCTTCCCACTCCTCCCATTCTAGTTCCCTGGGCAGAAGTTCCGTTCCACAGCCCCCATATAGAAGCACAGAATATCCTGAGTTGGAAGGGAATCACAAGGAACATAGAATCACAGAATCACAGAATGGCCCGGGTTGAAAAGGACCACAGTGCTCATCCAGTTCCAACCCCCTGCTATGTGCAGGGTCACCAACCAGCAGACCAGGCTGCCCAGAGCCACATCCAGCCTGGCCTTGAATGCCTGCAGGGATGGGGCATCCACAGCCTCCTTGGGCAACCTGTTCCAGTGCATCACCAGCCTCAGTGTGAAAAAATTCCTCCTCACATCCAACCTAAACCTCCCCTGTCTCACTTTAAAACCATTCCCCCTTGTCCTATCACTATCCACCCTCATAAACAGCCATTCCCCTCCTGTTTATACACTCCCTTCAAGTACTGGAAGGCCACAATGAGGTCTCCCTGGAGCTTTCTCTTCTCCAAGGTTAACAAACCCAGTTCCCTCAACCTTTCCTCATAGGAGAAGTGCTCCAGCCCTCTGACCATCTTAGTGCCCTCCTCTGGACCCGCTCCAAAAGCTCCATGTCCTTCCTGTACTGGGGGTCCCAGGCCTGGATGCAGTGCTGCAGATGGGGCCAACATGGAGCCCAACTCCTGGATAACAATCACCTGTCCGTAACACGTCATCTGCTCAGTTTTATATTTATTTTCAACCTCATCCAGATCTTGAATGACCTTTTCCCATGCACTGATTTCCTCTGTTGCTCTTTCATTTGGGTAATTATGGGTTTTGAAATGCCCATTCAGATTTTCATTGAGTTTGTTGCAGGTTTTTGTTAATCCTTCCACTCCAAGCATGCGGTTTTCCCGATGTTCTGCCTCCAGACTGCTTCCTATTAGAGCTGCCACAGCCATAGAGCTCCTCTGAATACGTTCCTGTTGCTCTCAGAATTTTATTCCGATATCTTAATAAAAGATTTTCCCTTCATTTGTTATACATTCTGGGAGACACAGAAACTGCTCGACCGTATAAATCCAAAGCTAAAAGACATACAATCCATCTGATATCCTGTTACTTTGTTATTAAAATTTGCTAATTAGTTTGCCTTTCCGCTCTTCACACTTGGGCTTAAGACAGCAGAGAATTTCCCCACAGATAGGACTGGTCTCCTCTTAACAAACCATTCACGCTTCTAACAGGAGGATGCTTCCTCCCAGGTGACGTTTGGATACGAACTGTAACAAGCATCAGGGCAATTTTCCTTTGATTCTGAATTTCATTTTAACTTCTCAAAATATATTTTAATATACATACCGCAGCTCATCTATAGCTGGGATTTGTGATGGCTCCATTAAACAAATGTATGCCTTTTATTGTATAAAGAACAAGGTAAAGGGAGCACATTAAAGGCACATTATGGATCTTGGGAGACTGGAAAACTGCAAGGGGAGGCTGAGGTCCTCAAGGAAACGAAAGCAAAAAGCACTGATGAGGAGTTTGCAATCACACCTGTGCCTCTTTGCAACAGCCAACGCTCCCCGAGCCCCTAACTCAGCATTCTCAAAGAGAAGCAAATATCAGGAAGAGAGCGAGTGATGGGAATATACAGGGAAAAAGGTTATTTGAAAAGCATTGCTTACCTTCTCACCTATAAGCAAGACTTCCTGTGAATGGGCTACAGCAGTGCCAAAGCCCCAGCTGAGAGCCATCCCACTGCACTGCTGAAGCCAGCAATTTCTCCACGCTTTCTGTGGATGCTGAATTCCACCTCGTGTTGGACACAGCCAGCAGCACGCCTGGATTTGCTAAGCATCATCCAAAGTGCTGGCACGGCAGGGCAAGGACAGCACACGGCAGAGGAACGCGTAGCAAAGAGGAACAGAATTCACATTTGCATCCCTAATCACCAGGATTCCATGGGCGGTGTGCCCCTACCACTCGTCTGTCAGGAAAATTATTTACCAGCATTTCTGGTTCTTGGAACATACGACTGCAGATGACGCCACTGTCTCAGCTCCCAACCTGACTCACCGGTAAATAACCACCACTGAAACCCATACTTGGGCAGAACGGCCAGGAAATGCTTCGCATTTTGGCCCCTTCTCCCACCTCCTCCACACGGATGCAGCAGCTCCCTGCAATCTGAAAGAAGGTGTGATGGCAGCGTGAGCATCTGAGCGTTTTAAGTGCAACCCTTCTGCTGCAAACAGCAGGAGCAGAGCTGGGCACTGAGCAAAGCGCTCGCAAGCAGCTCGTAAAGGAAGTAAAAACAACAGAGAAACTCTTCTCGCTTGTTGTCAGCCAAGCAGTGGGTTTGGGGTTTTGTGTTCATCTTTTGAAAGTTTACCAGAAACTAACTCGCCCTGAATTATTGACAAGTGGTTACACAACTTGCATCAGCCCTACAAAATGATTTTAGTGGTGAACGGGGGAAAAAGAAAACAGCCTCTAACTGAAAGCACGAGTGCTCCTTACTGAGGGTTTAACTCTTTTCAAATTTTCCTCTTTCAAAGGAGGATCAAAAGCACCGAAACAAACACAAAGGCGCTTCTAAGCAGGTTTATTTGTTATTTCTTGAAGATAAAAGGATGCCTCTCCAGGTATCCTGCTGTGCCACATCTTCCAGCAAAGCTGCTGCACAGAGCAAGGGAAGGGAAGGCATCCTGAAGGCCCTGTGCTCCCCTTCCATATATCCTCACCTCTTCCAACAGAGCCCAGAACCTCAGAGTGGCAAGAGAAAAGTTCTCCCGGATGGAGACAATCCCAGTGTGCCTTGGGGATGTGTCATCCCTGCAGGACATGAGCTCACCTAGTTTGTGTTACTTTAACATGCCTCAAAAGAAGGGAGGCAGAGGGCTGTGGGGGGGGTGTACCATCTGCTCTGCCCTTGTGAGGCCCCAGCTGGAGTACTGCATCCAGGCCCGGGGCCTTCACTACAGGAGAGATGCAGATCTGTTGGAGCAAGCCCAGAGGAGGGCTGCAAGGATGATCAAAGAGCTGGAGCACCTCTCCTATGATGACAGGCTGAGGGAGCTGGGTTTGTTCAGCTTGGAGAAGAGAAGGCTGCGAGGAGACTTCACTGTGGCCTTCCAGGACCTGAAGGGAGCTTGTGAGCAGGAAGGGGACTGATTTTTTACGTGGTCTGATAGAAATAGGACAAGTGGAAATAGTTTTAAACTAAAAGTGGAGATTCAGATTAGATGTTAGGAGCAAATTCTTTACTCAGAGGGCGGTGAGGCCCCAGCACTGCTGCCCAGAGCTGTGGGTGCCCCATCCCTTGAGGTGCTCAAGACCACAGATGGACCATGAGCAACCTGAGCTGTTGGGGGGCACCCAGCCATGGCAGGGGAGTCAGAATGGATGATCTTTATGGTCCCTTCCAACCCAAGCCATTCTGTGATTCTCTGTTCTTTTCCTTAAACTTTTCCAGCTGAGCTGCACATGATCCAACCAATCACTGGGTAATGCTGGAAGAGAAGAAAAGCAAAATTTCTAACAGAGAGAACTGGTCCCATACCAAAGAGGTGCCCTTGAGAGTGTCAGTGACGTAGCTAACAGCACCAACAAAGAGCTACCAGAATAGCTGAAACAATGGGAGAAAATAAATTGGTACCGCTTTATAACCTTCTATCCACAGGAAGGGCTTGTGCAGCAAATACTGCATTAGGCAAAGAACAGCAAATCGTTAAGCCCTGAAAACGCACAGGCTCACTTGAGTGTGGTTTTCAATTAAATGATACATCATCTTTGTTGCCCAGGAAGCAGAGATTCCTTAAGGGCAGCAGAGAACCCAGCAGACTAAAAAGCCATTAAGATGCCCAGCATCATTTTCCATCCCTGCTGGATGCTGACTGTGATCCCATTCAGCCCGTGCACCAGTGTGTTTCCAGCCCATCCCCTCAGCACCACCGGCCCTACCTGCACGAGGGACCATGAATTGAGCTTCACAGACCACCAAAAAGGATAAATATTTGTATGAAGGCTGCAGTGATGCACAGGTCACAGTGAACTGATGGCTGCAGAAGCGGCACCGGCATTGGGTGATGCTCCCATTGCAGCACTATGTGTAAAAGGGACCCTGGCTGGGACTTCGTGACATCAGTGGTGACAGCAGCAGGACGGTGACATCGCAGACCTAGACAGGGATTCTGCAGCAGGTGTGTGAGTATGGCCAAAGAACTCACCTGGATCTGAGCAAAAACTGTAAGATGACAAACCCCTTACTTAGACATGAGGCACTGGCACAGGTTACCCAGAAAGGTGATGGTGCCCCATCCCTGCAGACACCCAGGATCAGGTTGGATGGGCCCTGAGCACTGATGGAGCTGTGGGTGTCCCTGTTTGCTGCAGGCAGTGGGACCAGAGGCCTCCCAAGGTCCTTTTCAACTCAAATGATTCTATGATTCTAAGTTTAAATGTTTTCTTTGTACCTCTTCCATGAGATAAGTGTCCCAAATACTTCCTGAGTAAATACAGCACCTGACTGTTGAACTATTGGGAGCTGGAATTGGATGATTATTAAGGTCCCTCCCAACCCAAGCCATCCTATCACTTCCAAGTGAAAACGAGAGCACCTGACAGCATTTTAGGATTTTAAAAAAGGAACAGAAAAAGCCCTCAGATGTGAAACTACAACCAGCTCCCATAGCAGCACCATTCTCCCTTCACTTCTTACAGAGGAGCCAACGTCACCAGCAGACACCTCAAATCCCATCAACTCCTTCCTGAAAGCTTTCATCTGCAGCACTGCTCAGACACCTCTGCAACAGGTACCACAAACAGCCAGCAACAGGGACAAACCTGGGAGCTGCCCTTTCCACAGGGCTGCAAACATCTCTTTCCATCAGCAGGGCTCAAACAACATCCCTCTCTGAACCTACCCAGAAAGGAGAGTGCTGTCGCTGCCGGCTCTGCCATCACCCTCCTGTTCCCAATGGTAACCAGAGGCTGCTTCTCCTGCAAACATCTCACCAGAGAGATGCTTTGTGAAGTGTTGCAACGCTTGAAAACCTTGTTAACAGCAGGAAATCTATTTAAAGTGGAATGAATATGATCATTAAGGAATAAAGAGGGAGTTTCAACACGGCAAAGACCTAGGGCTAGGGCGGGGAGGCAGTGGCTCCACTAGTGTATTTACACTTTTACATCTCGAAGTCCCATCGCAGGATAATGGGAAAGGGAACTCCAGCAGATCAAACTAACTTAATACAAAGCCAAAATGTCCATTTGCCAGGGGAAAGAATGAAATTTAACACGGTAGGAAGGGGAAAAAAGAGAAAAGGAAATGGATGGGAGGTGCCAGGTGGGACGAAGGCAGTGCTCCCCACACACAGAATTCTGGGGGCTACTTTGTCAGCCCCTAAATTAGGGGAAATCCAGAGCATCTCAATTACAATCCACCTGGAGCCCTTCCTCCCCACAGCACACCCCACAAATGGGAATTCAGCCCTTCCCCTGGCTGGGCTGCAGCTGCCATGCTGATGTTCGGAGCTGTCTCAGCTCAAGCACACGTTGTCTGTTCTCAGTGCTTGGGGATATAGCTGGGGGAAAAAAGGGAAAAAAGCAGAGGCAGCCCACCCTACAAACTGAGCTTCAAGGTCACCCTGCCACAGCCTGGGTCTGTTCAGGTGCTGGAGAGAAAAATAAAGAAATCTCAAGAGCAGCAGGAGCTCCGGTTTTTTGTTTGCTTGCGATATGGCTGCCCCACTTCCAATCAAAAAGTACCTGTTATGTACAGAGGGAAAGGTGAGCTTTTTGTGGTAAAAAATCCTGAATTCACCTGTTTGTTAATCTGACAAGTTCGCCAGCATAGCTTAATCATTAACCAGAAGCAATGTTCCCAGAGTTGGCTCCTCGATGCTTAAGAGATGTGTGGAGACTGATGGTGACAATGTGTGACACCAACACGATGACACTGTCACAGCCAAGCCTAATTCCTGCCACTGTCCCACCCCATGGAGGCAGAGCCAAGCACAGGACCGCTTTCTGCTTTCCACTGCACTCCAGCCAAACTCAGGTCTCAGTCCAAAGCAATTGCAGCTCACTCAGAGGGAGAATTATGGCACCAGCAATATAAAAGTCCATCAGATAAAAGCAGCCACAGTGATGCATGTCATTTCTGCACTAGTTAGAGCCGACTGCCTGGTGCAATTCACAGGATTCCCACTCCGGGTCTACAGGAACAAGCAGGGGAGAAGCTGTGGACCCACAGCCATACAGCAGCTGCAGACAGCCCAGCCTTTAACTGCCTCTTGCTTTTACCATTCTGTTCATTTCTAAATATATTCTACTGTCTTTCCAAATTACCATTCCATTACAACAATTTTCCTTGAAGATATTGCTGGCTGTGGGCAAACCACAGGAGTGCTCAGGTTGTTACATGCATCAACTAGTTAAGTGCTACGAGGATGCTGAGCGCACACTTCTTGCTCTCCAAGTTGCATTAATCCTCACCGTAACACACTCTGATCTCCCAGGTTTGGGGCTTATAGAATCCTCAAGTTCTGGACTCACTTCACCTGATCAGAAGCCACGAGCACCACAAGTCACCTCGCAATGTAACCCTTGCACACCTCATCTCACTCTTCAGCACAAACCCTCTGCGTACCACCCTGTCACCGCAGCAATTAGCTATTCCATTTTGCAAAACATATTGAGAAAGCGCAGTTGATTAGGGCAGTAATTGCATCTTTATGAGCTTTTAAAGCAACTCTCGTAGCCAAGAACGCAAGCTAGACTGACTGCACATCTCATGTATGGAAAATAACCCAGGGAAAGCCAAGGACAGAGAGAAACGGTGACTTTTGCTTTCAGCATTGTCAGTAATTAATTCCACATGAAGAGGTGCTCCAGCACAAGCCACCCCCGTGACGAGTTGAAACCACTTTTTGCCAGAGGAAAGAAAGAAACAAAGACCTGAAACCTTACCTCTATCTCCCAGAGGTGAAAGATGGTTCATGGGAAAAACTGGGCTCTTCAGGTGATTAAACAGCAAACCAACAGGGTCCTAGGGTTTCAGCACACACGGGCATCGGCCGGCCATGGGCAGTCTTCACATGAACTCTTCTGATAGGGGCCCAGCACCAATTCCCGAATCCTGCCAAGGAAAAGACAGTTTGTCTGCATCATCTCTCAAGTAATTCAAAAGGTGCAATTTTAAGTGGGAGAACAGCAGAGTTAAGGTCAACTACTAATTTGCAGCAGCGTCGCTAATGGCTCGTTGACCTCAACGCTGTAAACTGTGAAGGGTTTTCATTATTATTATTTCTTTGTAAAAAGAACTCAAGGTTCCTCACCCTGCAAGTTACTGGGGGAAATAAAATAAATGAGAGCTGAGCACTCTGTATCCATCATTCTCCCCTCCCTCTTTGCCAACGCCGCTCCTAAGGAGTAACGACTACCCTCCAGAAAAACGCGGCGCACATCTCGGAGCGAGACAGCATCTATGCAACGAGGAGATAAAAACCAGCACCAGAAAATTACAGTTCGGTGTTTACAGGCAACAGGCTGCAGACCACCACCGAACTCATAAAACACGGAGATAATGAGATCGCCCGGTGCCTCACAAAGGCGCGGATGGTAAATTGCTGCCGTTACTAAGCTTTGAGCTAGATCCGGATCAAGGGGATTTCTCAAGTCCCTCCTCTTCCGCAGACCTGAGGCATCGCCTTCGACAGCGACGCAGCCTGCAAACCCGAGATGAGCATAAATATTTCCCTCCCTAAGCACAACGTGCTATGAGGAGGTATCAAGATGTCCATTTGCTTCTGCTATCCTCTCTCCTGTGAGCCGCACCGGTCTGCGCCTTGTTCCTCTCCATCCAAACGCTGGTTATTTCAACAGAGCCGCAATACTTGGCTGAAAAGTAAAACTGTACTCTTTGTATTACTAAGTACTGCCTGGATTCTCATGAAAAGTCATTTAAAAACAACTACAGAGATGAGCTTTAGAAAATGGTTTCCGAGCCCCTCCATGCATTGCAAGTTCTACAGCCAAGCTCGCTCCCTGCACAGCCATCAATGAGACACAAGTCACAGTAGTGCCCTGGAACTTTTCTTGGAAGCATCCACTAAGATGCAATTAATTTTAATTAAGGATGAAGGAGCTGGCCTGAAGAAGAGAAGGCTGTGGGGTGACTCCATTGCAAACTAAAGGGAGCCTTCAAACAGGAGGGGAATCAACTCTTTGAAAGGGCAGATAACAGCAAGACAAGGGGAAATGGTTTTAAGTTGAAGGAGGGAAGATTTAGGCTGGAAGTTCTTTACTATGAAAGTGGTGAGGTGCTGGAACAGCTGCCCAGAGAGGCTGTGGATGCCTTATCCATCCTTGGAGGTGTTCAAGGCCTGGTTGGATGGAGTCCTGGGCAGCCTGGTCAAGTATTGGATATGGAGGTTGGTAGCCTGCATGCATCAGGGGAGTTGGAGCTTCATGATCCTTGAGGTCCCTTCCAACCCAAGCCATTCTATGATTCTATGATTAATCAACCACAAAGATGATCAGGGGACTGGAGCACCTCCCCTATGAGGACAGGCTGAAAGAGCTGGGCTTGTTCAGCCTGGAGAAAAGAAGGCTGTGGGGTGACCTAATTGCAGCCTTTCAGTACCTAAAGGGAGCCTACAAAGAGGAGGGAAATCAACTCTTTGAAAGGGTGAGTGACAGCAGGACAAGGGGAAATGGTTTTAAGCTGAGGGAAGGGAGATTTAGGTTGGACATCAGGGGGAAATTCTTTACGGAGAGAGTGGTGAGGTACTGGAACAGCTGCCCAGGGAGGCTGTGGATGCCCCATCCCTGGAGGTGTTCAAAGCCAGATTGGATGGGGCCCTGGGCAGCCTGGTCTAGCATTAGGTGGAATGGTTGGTGGCCCTGCGTGTGGCAGGGGGGTTGGAGATTCATGATCCTTGAGGTCCCTTCCAACCCTGGCAATTCTCTGAAACCTCAGACACCTCGGAGCCAATAGCAAACTCAAGTGCATAACCATAGGGACCCTCTGCAGTCCAGAAGCAGTAGGTCCACATGTTCCCGATGGAGATATCCCATGGGCACACAGACCCATGGACATGCAGCTCCAACAGGAGATGCTGCCCCAATGGCCAATCCATCATAAAAGCTGGCAGAAAATTCTTTTTTTTTTTTTTTTTTTGTG